AAACTATATGATTATCTACAAAGATCTTTCACTCTGCTTTTTATCTGGGAAGAATGAACAATTAGACCTGATATTTGAGCTGAAGAGGAACAAATGATATAAATGTAGTCTGTTTCTATTTGAGCCACTTGTGGTGCTGTGGGTAAATGCGCTGGACTGCAAAGTGGTTTGAATCATAAGGTTGGCAGTTCAAGCTCACCAGTTGCTCCTTGGAAACCCTATACAGGGTAGCTATGAGGCACTCAACAACAACAAGGCGCCTTGGTAATATAACGGCTAAACACTTGGCTATTAACTGAAGAGCTAAGGGCTTGACCTTACCCAGCAGCTCCACAGGACAAACACCTGGTGATGTGCGTCTGTAAAGACGACAGAATTGGAAACCCTAAGAGGCAGTTCTGTTCTCACATGGGGTTGCCATGCCTTGGAACTCACCTTGATGGCATCTAACAACAACAGGGGCAAATGGCTGCCACCTCTTGGTTTTCAACTTGTTTTTCATCCTTCCTAAGTGACATGAAACAGAATCTCCGAGTACTGATATGTTAAGGAGAATATAACACCAACAATAAGATCATACCTGTGGTTTTCAAACAACAAAACTTCATGTTGCCAGTTGAAACATACCAGACTTAGCAACATACCCATCAGATTGCTACTGGTGTGGAAAAGCTGGTGGGCATTCAGTAATAGCAAAATACAGGTTGATTGAAACGTCTAATCCTTTATTCCTCACAGTGCAGAATGCACAGTCTTACAACAGGGGTGGGGCAGAGCTGGGTAGCTGGAGCAAGACTGGGTGGGACAGGAAGATGGCAGGTACAGTACTGCATGAAGTCAAGGGATGTGGGTGGAATTCTATCCTACAAACCCTCGCATATGTAGCTTTTGTTTATTGGTTTTTGTTTAAAAGAAATAAGGTAATTTTTTTTTTTTTTTGGCTTAAGGATTTTGAAGACAACACACCCACTCTCCAAGCTAATTTGTATAAATATAAACCAAAATCAAACCCACTGCTGTCAAATCAATTCTGACTCACAGCGACCCTGTAGGACAGAGTTTCTGAGGCTGTAGATCTTTACGGCAGCAGACAGCCTCATCTTCCTTCCACAGAGCAGCTGGGGGGTTTAAAGCACTCACCTTTCTGTTAGCAGTCCAATGCTTAACCCGCTCACCTACCAGTGCTTCTTTTAGAAAGATGCTGTTGTTAAGTGTCCTAGCGTCAGTTCTGACTCACAGCAATTTGCTCCAATATAATTCAGAATAGCTGGCAAATCACTTATGTGCAACACAAAAGTACCACAAATGAACTACTAGTTTTTTTGTTTTTAAAGGAGATACGATAAGATTGTTGTTGTTAAGTACTGCCTAGTCAGTTCTGACTCACAGTGACCCTATAAAGGGTTTCCAAGGAGGAGCAGGTGGGTTTGAACCATTAGCAGTCCAGTGTTCATCCTACAGTGCCACACCAAGGACTCCATATGATAAGATACACAGTGTAAAAGCATACTTAGTAAATGTTGTTGTTGTTATGCGCCATGGAGTCGGTTCCAATTCATAGTGACCTGAATAGGGTTTCCAAAGCTGTAAATCTCTACGGGAACAGAAAGCCTCATCTGTCTCCCGCAGAACAGCTGGTAGTTTCCAATTGCTGATCTTGAGACTAGCAGCCCGATTCATAACCACTCTGCTACCAGAGCTCCTTATACTTAGTATATAGCAAACTTAAATTTATTTTTATAGAGTTCAGTTTAGGACTTAGCAGTTCCATAATGGGGTAATTCAGGTCTGTAGAAGCCAAGAGGGTAAGGAATTCTCTTAATCTGAGCTAAACCTGTAAAGTAGGCTGACTTTTATTATTATTATTATTAAACTAAATCACTAATTTGAATTATAACTGTGATTCATAAAAGGTGAATGAATAGGTAAAATTTTATTTAGACTTCTTTGTTTTTTTTTAAGTTACACATGTGTGGAGTTATACTGCATAAAGTACACGTTTGCAGGATGAAATTATAGCCTAGAGATTTCTTAAGCAGTTGCCATAACATTTCAGAATTAAAAAGGATGTATTCTGGAAATGGAGAGTTCATAATTTTTGCAAATGTTCTTGGTGATTATGATAACCTTTGAATTTATAACGTCGGGAGAAATGAGCACAAGTAGCTATTACCATTTCTTCCTTGCACTGAGATTTTTCTTACACGCTGGTGTATAAAGCTCCCAGGCACCTTAGTTCATCTAAAAGCTCCAATAACGCCTGCAGAGACCCACTGGAGACCACAAACAAATCAGAGCCCTGGCATTCAGGCTATAGAATGACAGGACAAATTAGAGAAAATTAGTAATTAATGGTCTGATTGAATCGAAAAGGACTCAAGTGCCCACTCACTTCAGAAAGCCCAGCGGGCAACAACCTTTTATTGAGACAGGTAAAACTGCATCATGGGGAATTTAAAATTAAATATGAATAAGACAATTATCAATCAAATCCTACTCATTTTCCTCTCTTAGGAGAGAAATAAGTAGGTATGTAGAACTCCACTTCTAACTGAGTTAGAAGACCAACATGGAGTGAGGGACTTGGCTGATTCTAGAAGTGATAAGGCACCAGACGTGTTTCATTTCTTAGAAGTCTTAGTTTAGGAATGCATAAAACTTTTTGAGATATGTTACAAGCTGGGTTTAGAAGTACAACTAAGAAAGACTGACTTAAGCTATGCAGTATTTTAGTCTTTTTCCCATAGCAGCTTGGTTTTTACTTTCTTGCTATTACTGATAATTCTGTATAAGATTGCTACCAGATTTGCCTGTTAAGCTTTCACAGAACAAATGATCTTGAGCTTACAATCCAGGAGGGAAAATCTGTACTATAAAGTACTTTGATGGCATAGCAGATGAAGTTCTGGGCTGTAAACCACAAAGTCGGCGGTTCAAACCTTCTAGCTGCTTCACAGGAGAAAGACGAAGCAGTTTGTTTCTGTAAAGATTTCCAGTCTTGGAAACCCTACGAAGAAAGTCTTGGTGTGGCATTTTAGGATAAGCACTGGACTGCTAATCAAAAGCTTGGCGGTTCAACCCTACCAGCTGCAACTTGGAAACTCTACACAGGGTCACTATGAATCAGAACCAAACCAACTTGATAGCACTTAATAAAAACATCTCTGTCTTATAAGGTTGCTACAAGTTGGGTTTGACGTGATGGCACTGGACTTGATAGGCCCAGATGATCATGTTTCTCAGTTAAAACGGACATTTGAGTTTTAAAATAAATCAGAAACAGAAACAAAACTTTAGACTAATACAGAATGCTAGGCTGAATATTACAATGTGCATATAATAGAAGGACCTCAAACAGTATCGGCTGACTAAACATATGAATGCAGGGACATAGATTGTTGCTTCTGTTTTCAAGTGCCACCGAGTTGGTTCTGACTAATAGAGACTCTGTAAAGACTGCTCCTTGGAGGCCAGGATGGCCAAGCTTCATCTCTCATACTTCGGACATATTGTCAGGAGGGACCAGTTTCTGGAGAAGGATATCATGTTTGGTAAGGTGGAGGGTCGGAGAAAAAGAGGAAGACCGCCCCCCAGCAAGATGGATTGGCAAAGTGGCAGCATCAGTGGGCTTAAGCGTGGCAACAATGATGAGGCTGGCCCAGGATCGGGCAGTGTTTCGTTCTGTTGTACATAGGGTCGCTATGAGTTGGTACCGACTCAATGGCACCTAACAACAACAACAACATAGGGTTTCCGAGGAGCGGTGTGTGGGCTTGAGCCGCTTATCTCTTGGTTAACAGTTCAGTGCTGACTCTATAGTGCCACATCAGGATTCCATGAACATACTGGCACATTAAAATCTGTTTAAACAGCATGCATGTCTTTGAACACAGTGTTGTTTTTTTCATAACGACACAATGAATAGCCAGTGTTTTAATCAGGATTTCAACCTATTGCTTTACTTTAATTTTCCAGATGGAGATGTAGTGTATCAACAAACGCCAGGTTACATAAGCTATCACATTTCTCATCATTCTGTTTGTGAGTCTTCAGTGAAGGGCCAAGCTAGATCCCCTATGTTTAACAAAGCAGCTCCTGTTTGTCTGCTGTTAAGTGTCATCTAAAGGAATCCTGGTGTGGCGATGTGGGTTAATGCACTGAACTGCAAAGTTGGTTTCAACCACAATGCTGGCAGTTCAAACTTACCAGCCGCTCCTTGGAAACCCAATAAAGGGCCTCTATGGGTTGGAACTGACTCAACAGCACTAAACAACAAAAACAAAAGGAGTCCAGAAGAGTCCTGGTGTGGCACTGTAGGATAAGCACTGGACTGCAAGGTCGATTTGAATCTCAAGGTCTGTGGTTCAAATTCACCAGCCACTCCTCGGAAACCCTATACTGGGTAGCTGTGAGCAGGAACTGACTCAACGGCATGTGACAACAACAACAAACAGCAAAACTAGAGAAACAGAGTTTACTACATTCTCCACAGAAGTCCCTGGTGGAGCCCTAGAATCTTCCTATTCCTAGAACAGGGCCTGGCATGCTATACCAGTTACTGTGGAGTTGATTCTAACTCAGGGCACCCCCGTGTGTGTCCACAGTAGAACTGTGCTCCACCAGATTTTCAATGACCGACATCACCAGACCTTTCTCCCAAAGTGCCTCTGGGTGGCCTCAAACTGCCAACCTTTAGTTTCTCAGAGAAGTGCTTTAATCTTTGCACCAGCCAAGGTCTCTGACATACTAAAGGCACTCAGTAAATATATGTTGACTGAATAGACGATAAAAGGCATGTATTAAGGAAAACATGATAATATGGAGAACCAGGTAAATGATTAACATCTTTTCATTTTCAAAAGTGCTATAATTTTACCACTAATAAGAAAAAAATGCTCTGAAAGTTTTGCTGGTAACAAAATAACTTTCTACAATTATTTTTTTCCTCCTGTTTTTTTTCTCTTAACTGAAACGTAAGTCAGAGAACTGAAATAACATACCTGTTCCTGAAATATTTTGGCCAAGGGGGCGCAGTCTGTCAGTTTAATAAACCTGACCACATCAGTCACCGTCCATTCTAGTGGGTTGCTCTCCAGAACAAGTCTCTCCTCCTCTTCTTGTTTTATTTCCTAGAGGGAAAGGAAACAGATCACTTCCCTGCTTCCAGCCTGCTCCACCTTTCCCAGAATCCTCTGGGACTGAGCCAGACTCCTGGCCATGAGCTACCTCTTCCCTTTGGTCTCTCATTAGGCATCGTTAACAAGCTGCATTCTCAAGGGAATTTCTTATCAATTTGCCTGGGTTATGACTTTCCCTTCATGATTTGGGTGCTTTTAGAGGTAGAAAAAAAGGCACAGAGATAACAGTTCTTGAATCCTACATTCAAGAAATGTTGGGCTTGCTTATTAGTGAAGCACCCCTGATTAAAAAGAACAGAGGACAGATGATAAGAGGCTTATTCAAACAGATTAGAGAGTCAGTCTTCCCAGAGCCCATTTATTTAGGGGATGATGATGCCAATTACTTTTTCAGATGATCATATACCACCCATGGGTTTAAGGGAGACCGGCTACATTGATTAATATTTTCTAACAACCTAGAGGTATCCTATAAAGGGAGATGCTGAGATGGGATTCTGGGAACCCAGCACTGAGAGGGACTTGGATGACTTTATCCTGTTCATTCCTGGCACCTAACTCACTCATGACTGACAAGAATCGCTAGCCTTTGGAAAGCTTTCCAGAAAAAGAGATGCTATTGCTTCCCTCAGAACTCCATTCTGATGTTTAACATCTCCGTTCTGTCAAGATGTGAGACCACTAAGCCTTTTTCCCTCTCCTGATTTATAAACGATGCTAGGGTAACAGTGGCTAGGGTGTTTGATATTTTAAATAAGTTTTCCCAAATCAAAGATCTCAACTTGAATGCTCTTCCTTCTTAAACAATGAAGAGATGAACACTGTGCTTTCTAAAGTCACCCAAGCATTTTGGATTAAGGGTTCCTTCAGTGGAGCTCTACCTCAGTGCCTTCTTGTTTAGCAGGTGTGCACTTATCTTTCTCTGTAAAAGAGGGTGTTTGTGCTTTCCGGCCCCTCCGAGTTCTCTCCACAGGAGGGCGTCGTTCTGGCTCAGAGCTGCTCCTCAGGGTGGCTGCCCTCCGGAGCCGGGCAGAAGGCGCCTCCACGGAAGACGTGTCCGTCTGGTCATCTCGGAGCTCAGAGCCAGTCTCCTCACTTCCTGTGTCGTCTTCCATGACATCTGGATCCTCTTCTTCACTTTCCTAGTATGACAAGACATCTGCTTATAGAGATAGGCTCAAAGGGACCGAGAACAAAAAGGTGGACTGAAACTACAGTTCGAGGGCTGAACTTTCATCCTAGCTCCTGTCTTCCTCCTCAGGGTTGTTGTTGTTGTTAAGTGCCGTCGAGTCGGTTCCAACCCATAGCGACCCAGTATAGGGTTTCCGAGGCGCAACTGGTGAGCTAGAACCACCAACCTTGCAGTTCAAACGGCTTTACAGTCTGGCGCATTAGACCACAGCGCCACACCAGGACTTCCCTATGCAAATCACTTGCCACTGTTTGTCCAAAGAGGCCCAAGGAGCTCTGGTAGCGTAGTGGTTACGAATCGGGCAAGGTCAGCAGTTCGAAACTACCAGCTGCCCCGTGGGAGAAAAATTAAGCTTTCTGCTCCCATAAAGATTTTCAGCCTCGGAAACCCTGTTCAAGGACACTATGAGTTGGAATCAACTCAATGGTACATAACAACAACAAGCCCTTCCCTGGCTAAAGTTGAGGGAAGAGTTAACTGTCTTCAACAAACAAGGAGGGGGACCAATGTCACTGAACAACCTGTGCAGAAATTGTCAAATCAAAACTGAAACTGTTGTGTCAACCATCACTGAAAACACAATAAAATATTAAAACTAATAAGGTGGGATAATTTCTGATTTCCATTTCTAACCACTTGGCTTTAGGCATCATCAGCTGACAGTCTGACAACTAGAGCCCAAAGTAAAAACTGAACATCAGAAGGTACTTTCGAGTAGGACATACCTCTCCTGACCCTGTGGTGAAGTCCACAGTAGATCTCCGTTTCTTCTGCACAAAAATGGATTTTCGTCGTTTCCTACGTCTGGCTGGTTTAGGGTGCCCACTTTCAATGCTGTTTTCACCAATTGGGGGTTTAATGATCTTCTTTCTCTTTCCATAGTAATAGGCTACAGGGAGAACAATGATTAGAAACTTGGTAAAAGCTAAATATATGCACACATGGAAAGAGAGAGAGAGTAGAGAAGGAGAGAAGGAGACAAAATGGAAAAAGAAAAGGAGACACCATTCTTTCATTTGGGGCTGAAATTTGTCCTAAACATTTGACATCTTTTAGACAGGTAATAAATTTGAGAAGACACTTGCACAGGAAGGAGATACTTTTCCAGTTCAAGCTTAGATGATGAAAGAGTTCAACATGTTCTCAATTCTTGAAAGATTTTCTCTCTGACTTCTTTCTCTGCCCCAAATACTGCATATAGTAGTAACAACTGCCTCCCACTTGAGTGTTCTGAAGGCATGCTAGTGGTGCTGTGGGTTAGGCACAGGTCTGATTACTGAAAGGTCAGAGGTTCGAATCCACCAGCTGTTCCAAGGGAGAAAGAAGAGGCCGTCTGCTTCCATACATATTTACAGAAAACCCAATGGGACTATAGAATTGCTACAGGTTGGAATCAACTCCACGGCAGTGAGTTTGGTGTGCTTGTTAAAAGTGTTCTGACAACTGCTCCCCAAGTCTGTATCTTGAAGAACAGTCAGTGACCATCTCCTCATATGTCCTTGTCATAACTGATTTCCCCCATCTCTTGATCTGACCCATGGAAAATGTGACCAAAACACACCATTAAAAAAATATAGTTCTGTATCTCTTACATATTGGATTCTCTTATTAAGAGGAAAGTCTCATTACTTACAGATTCTATGGTGCTCTTGTTAGCCATTGTTATATCGGCCCCTGACTCATGATGACCCAGGGATCTAGATCTATATCAACACTTATAGTTCTAATTAGAAAACTACCAGCTTTCAAAAATAATTAGTTTTATTAATTACATGTATTACTAACTAACTTAAACCACTAAGAATCCAGTATTCCATTCTGATCTATTGAAGACAGCTGCTTAACTCACTGACCAGAGGTTCAACTGTCCCACTATGTGACTCTCATTATTTTATTTAAAGAAACAGTAGAACAAAAAGTCTCTCTACCTATGGAGAGAGTGAACCAAAGGAAGAATTGGAAATGAAGCCCTCGGCGTTTACCTGCAGGGAAGCCTGGCTTCAGAGTATCCACACAGCAGTGCCATCAGCTGTATTTTATAGATATGATACCTAGTCTCTCTGGACTTCAATTTCCTTGTAGGCAAAATGAGACCACTGGGACTAACAAATGCAGACTTAGTAGGAGTGTTAAGCAAAACTCCTGGCCTTCCATGCAGGAGGTCCAGTTTGACTCACAGCGAATGCATTTCCTGGGCAGTCACCACCCTCTGTCAGTGGAGGTTTGCGTGCTACTGTGATGCTGAGTAAGTTTTAGTGGAGCTTCCAGATTAGGATGGGCTGGGAAGAAAGGCTCATCTACTTCCCACACTTAGTTAATGAACACTCTATGGACCACAACAGTATGATTCCCAACAGGCCTTGGAGATGGTCCAGGTCCAGGTAACATTTTGTTTCATTATGCATGGGGTCTCCATAAGTTGGGGGCTGACTTGACAGGAGCCAGCAACAGCTACAGTGTAGGCTTCCTTCGGGACTCAAACTGCCTCTTTCTTTTTTCTCTCACTTGAATTTGAAGCTTATGGATGGCATTTACAAAAACTGTCAAGAAACCACATTATTATAGTCCTGGTGTGGTGCTGTGGGTTAATGCGCTAGGGCTGCAAAGTTGGTTTGAACCAAAAGGTTAGTGGTTCAAGCTCACCAGCTGTTCCTCAGAAACCCTATACAGGGTTGCTATGGGTCAGAACTGACTTGATGGCACTGAACAACGGAATTTTTTTTTTTTTAAGTTTTTAATGTGAATTGAGTGATACTTTACACTGGGGAAACATGAGTTTTACACTCATTGTTTCATTACAATGGCTACAATCTCCTCTGCGTATCATCAGAAGCATCTGCTTCTGTACCCTCTGTTTCTTTTTTTGTTTTTGGGGATATACACAAAAACACTTAGGAATACATAATCATTTAAACAACCAAAGGGCACATTCTGTAAGCCTGCCTCCTGGCCACCAGCACACAGCCTTTCTCTTTCCACCAGTCTAGAGTCCTCAGCTGCTCTATTTCTCCATGCCCTCATCAACAAAGCATTTTTTGTATGCTTGAATTGACCGCCTGAAGGGAAAGACTGCACATCTCTCTCGTTCTCCAGAGACCATATTCCCTAGGCATGCTCAAATGACTGCTGCTTAAATGCTGGTCCACGGTTATCTCCAGGTGGCAGTGATGTGCCATGGAGTCGATTCTGACTCATAGAGACCCTGCATAAGGTTTGAAGTTGTAAATCTTTATGAGAGCAGAAAGCCTCATCTTTCTCCCATGGAACAGCTGGTAGTTTTGAACTGCTGACCTTGAAGTGAGTAGGTTGACTCATAATCACTACACTACCAGAGCTCCCTCATATCTCTATGTGTTAGATATAAATAAATAAACACATTTTCATACCCAGAAGAGTCAAGTGGGCAAGCCAATTTGGGTGTTAACTGATTATTATTTTTTACATCAGGACTCTGGAAACCAGAATTGTTACCTGAAGGCATAGTGCATTTTTAGAGCTTTAGAATTACAGTGGATACTAGTGCTTTAATGCTATCAACTATTCCTAAATAATGTTTTATCATCCTCCTACAGGTACTTCAGTTCAATCATTAGCAATCTTCCCTGTAAATTGACCCAAGGGATTGTAGGATTTTGAAGTTTTATAAAACCAGATTCAGAAGAACATTTAAATTCATTTCGTTGTGTTTGAGCTGTAATAACTTGCTTCTGTCTGTGTCTTGAAAATATGCCATTTTAAAGGCAAACATTCAAGGAGGACAAGTTTAGCCCTCAGTTAACTCTTTTTTTAAAAAAAAAATTTATTTTCACTTAAAACATACATGTATATTTAATTTTTTAATCATTTTTTTGTAGGCACAAGCACACTTCTTTGAGAAGAGGTTAGTAGTTCATAGCATTATTTTCATATAAACCACAACTATGCCATATCTTCCAGAATTGGAAGTTTGGGTTTCTTCAGTTAAATGGGATGAAAATTTTAAGACATCGGAGGGCAAATCTGAGATGAAACTTTTAGTGTTTTCTACACATTTAGGTCCTTTGAGTTCACTCTTACCCAGTTTAGCAACAAGTCTTTTGCCATGATTCGTCTTTGTCAAGTCTTTCCCAAGTACTCAAATCATTCTCTAGAAATAACTTTTTTCTTTCTGGACTTGAATTCATTAGTAATTATGTAATGGCAATAGCAAGTACAACCTGTGTAAAAAAATTCAGCTTCAAATCTAAGTGACTTTTGGCAAATGCCTAACTTATTCATTGTAGGCAGCAGTGAGCAGATGTACTAGAGTGTCCATCAGTATGACTTACAGAGGGCCTGAAGGACGTAGGCTACTGTTAGTCAACTCCTTTTTTATTCAGGAACATCTGGTTATTGAGTGGCTTGCTTCAGTGACTCATTCCTCTGGTTCCATCTAATATGACGTGGAGACATGTTTTTCAGAGAATAACATGACCTGCTCTCCCAACATACCTAATGTTACATGAGCATATATGTACAGATCGAAATGGAGACCAGCATGACAGAAAAAGTAAGAAACTTTTTACAGGAATGAGAGCGAAAATAGATTTTAAAACTCTGCCTGTAAATACAAGGCATCCTGGTGGCATTACAGGATAATCACTGGACTGTTAACCTCAAAGTCTGCAGTTCAAACCCACCAGCGTTCTGAGTGTGAAAGATGAGCCTTTCTGCTACCATAAATATCTGCAGCTGAGGAAACCCTACAAGTCACTATGAGTTGAAATTAACTCAATGGCAGTGGGGTTTGTTTGTTTGAAATGCATATGTAAATACACAAGGCACAGTGTTTCCAGTATGTTCAGATTCTTGGTGGTAACAGATAGGTTGACAAGTCACAGAAGGCTGCTCTCAGGGAACACCTACCACACTGGATTCTTGTAAAACACTAGCAGCTTCAAACACTGGCAGACAGTACAAACTTCCAGGCCACTGACTGGGATGCAGTCTACCCCTTGGATGAGTGGTAAATGAGAGATGCAGAAAGATCTAAAGTTGAATAGCAGAGAGAAAGTTTTCAGAGCTTGACATATCTGATGTGAAGGCATTTGGGAGTAGCAAAAGTGGGTGGCTCTGTAGGCTAAGTACTGGACTATGAACCGCAAGGTTGGTGGTTTGAGCCCACCAGTCACTTCTTAAGAGAAAGATGAGGCATTCTGTTCCAACGAAGATTTACAGCCTCTGAAACACTAGGTAGAGTTGTTATGAGTTGGAACTGACTGGACAGCACTCAACAACAACAACTGAGTGGGTGGAGAAGAAGGTCATCAGAGTAGAGAAAGGACAGGGTTTGGGACAGGCCATCAACAGAAGGTCAAAACCAAACCAAACCATAGACCAATAACCCAGCTTTTGTTGAGTTGACTCCAACTCAGTGTGATCCCATGTGTGTCAGAGCAGAAATACACTCCCTAAGGTTCTCAAGGCTGTGACCTTTCAGAGGCAGACCACTAGGTCTGTCTTCTAAAATGCCTCTGGAGAGATTTGGACCACCAACCTTTCCATATGTAGCCTAGTGCTTATACCCAGGGGCTCTATCAACAGAAGGTTGTTGTTGTTGTTAAGTATCGTGGAGTCCGTTCTGACTCATAGTGACCCTGCACAGGGTTTCCGAGGCTGTAAATCTTTACGGGAGCAGTTGTTCTTGTTAAGTGCTATCGAGTCGATTCTGACCCATAGCGACCTTGTACACGGTTTCCGAGGCTGTAAATCTTTATGGGAGCAGAACACCTCATCTTTTTCCCACAGAACAGCTGGTAGTTTCGAACTGCTGACCTTGTGGCTCGCAGCCCAATTCATAACCACTACGCTACCAGACTAAATGTGATGTTGTTGTTGTTGTTGTTAAGTGCCGTCGAGTCGGTTCCGACCCATAGCGACCCTGTACAGGGTTTCCGAGGGTGTAAATCTTTACGGGAGTAGAAAGCCTCATCTTTCTCCCGCGGAGCGGTTGGTAGTTTCGAACCGCTGACCTTAAGGTTCGCAGCCCGATTCGTAGCCACTACGCTGGAGGACAAAAAGGATAAGTGCCAAAGATTGGGAAAGGTCAGAGCAAGGATGAAATGGGCATGTGGTAACAACTTTGGGAGAAGCAAAACAGTTGGAGGCAAAGAAAGTAACAATTGTTTCTGAATCTTCATATTACTCCACTGAAGACAGTTTTGAGGAATGTGGTACAAGCAGGGGAGAAGCAGATTAAGTTAAGGATGTTTCCCCTGGAAAAGTGCAACGAAAGAATCATTACAGTTTCTCAGTGTAAGTAATTCTGGTTACTATCCACTGCTAATAATTATTTTCATCATGTTCTTCTTTCTCCCATATTGTTGCTGAAATCTATCCACTGGACTCCATGACAGCATATCCATTTCATTTCTTTCTTGGCCAATCATACCCACCCATCCCCTTCTTTATACCAGGCTAAAAACAGAAATATGTCTGCCACAGCAAATAAGAATTTGTCCATAGCAATTCCTGAGGAAGCTATTAAACAGCTTCTGAGAAATGAAAAAGGACAAAAAAAAAAGGTCAAGGCCTTCAGCTTAGGTCTGTGGACCATTGAGTTTTCCATTATTTGTACTTACTGTATTTGGTTTTGGTATGAATGGAGCAGTTCTCTGGACAGTTTTCGGAAACCAGCATAGGGCTAAACAAATTTGGACAACATTCTAGCTTGGCACAAACTCGTCTGCAGAAATCTGCTACTTGGTCCGATGTCCGTACAATCTTAACCACTGCCCTATATGTTTTGCCCCTGTACCTAGAATATAAGGAAGGAAAAACAATGTCAAGATCAAGTTATTACTCAGACTCATTCTGTACAGTATATTCCAAAAGTAACCACTTTATTTTCTAATAACAAAGCATGTTGTGATTGATTTCCACTTTGTTTTTATACTTCCAAATGACCTCACGAAAAAATATTTTAAGAATTGTTCAGGATCATGTACAATATTATGTGACAGCAAGGTTAAAACAATCCATTGAAATAAAGATTTCCATTTAGCATATTCTCATTGTTTTATACATAACTTAATGCCAAATATTAGTTGGGAGTCATATGTGGTATAAACTAAAAATTAACGATAACAAAATAGAATGTTTGTTTTCCTGCTGCTATAATATTTAGTTTTTTAGATAATATGAGTGCATAAAGCACCATGATTCTGCTTTGAAAAGCATACAGATTCAGAACAATAAATTAACATCTTTATCAAGGCTGCATATCACACTTTTAAAATGGGGGCAATTTCCATGGCTTATAAATGACATCTGTGTGGAAGAGTGACAGAAGAACCATCTGGTGGGGCAAGGTCACATTTAAAATGAGAGAAACACAATGGGTTTTTAAAAAGGGGGAGGAGGGCAGCAAAAAAGCAAACGAGCCCAATAAGTAAGAAACTGATAGAATCCATAGAATGTCTACATCCAAGAGCTCTCAAACAAGAGTCTTTGATGCTCAGCGAACCCTGTTGGCCCCAGGTAAATCACCAATGGTTAAAGACAGAGACTTTCGTATTTCTTTTTCCTTCTTTCCTCCTTTCCTCTCCTTTCTTTTCCTTTGCCTCCCTTCCTTTGCGTTATTTAGCAAGAAAAAAAATTAAAATCATACCCAACTATCAATATGACAAAGACTCTAGAATGAGAATGTGTCAAAGAATATAGATATTATCACTCACTGCTCATGGAATTGGCCAAAAAACTTCCTCCTGCCTAAGAAAAACCACATGTAATAAAGTCACCAACATAAAACAAGAAACCAGATCTTCTGGTTGGATGGGTTCTTTATTTGAAAGAGGTATTTAAGCTCTTATCTAAATCTTTATAACATGTACATAATGTATTTAAGCTCTCACCTAAATCTTTATGATAAGTACATAAAAAAGCCTGTCTGAAAAGAGGAACACTTGGAACTAACAGTTTGAATTATCTTTCAATTTCTCTTTTTAAACTATGATTAGTACAAAATTATTATGATAATTATTATAAACCTTTCAGCTGGCAAGAGATAAAACAGATCTTTATTTAGTTCAAACCTCACTAAACTTAGACATCACTGAAATTAGAATACATCAAAATACCTGTGCCTATTAAGCTATGCCCTAGATGTGTGCCACAATTTTTAACTTGAAATCTTCAACAACAGATTTATTTCCCAGAAAAATAGCAGTAGTGGGTTGCTTTGGCGTTCTGGTGTGGTGCTGCAGGTGGACAGTTAGTCAACCACAAAGTTGGTAGCTGAAACCCATCATCCGTTCCTCTGAAACCCTATACAGGGTCACTACAAATCAGAACCAACTTGACAAACTTAACAATGAGTGGTTGTTCTGGCAGATTGTACTTGGCATTAATGTATAGAAACCAACCCAAGTCAGAAGGAATTACCCAGGTAATTTGACATTGTCAATCCATGAGGTAAGTACATGCAATCTTTGTGAGACCTGCTCTTACACAAATGTATTCATGTCTCCAGCAGTTTAGTGCAAAATATGACGGGAACATAAACGTGTTACGCAAATATGAATATATATTACAGCAATTGTCTTGTTTTTTTTTTTTTTTGTTGTTTTTTTTTTGTCACATGCAAACAAAACACTGAATTCAAAACTGATGATCTGATTCATAAAGAGTAATACAATAATACAGTGATAGAAACAAATACAACTTCTAATGAGTTTATTTAAATTTTTTGAAAAAATGTCTTTTGGAGCTGTAATTTAATTAACTTAAAAAATATGAACAACAACAAAAAAGATGCTAAATTTCTAACTTAAAAATACTATATAGTTATTCACAGACTTTCACATTACAACTCTTTTCTACTCTTTTTTCCCTCAATTTTTCTGATGTGCCAAGCTCAACTTGCTGCTCTACTTGCTAAGAGTACAGAGGGCTTGTCCCTTAGCTGCAAAAGTTGCCCAATAACCCGATGGCCCAGCTTGAGACAACCCTGAAGAGACACTAATTCAAGAGTTCCTCACAGACTATAGCTACACTCACATCCTCTCTGCTCAATCCTGCTTCATTTTTCTCTTCTACAGTTGCCAGTAACAGGGGTTCTTCTTAATAACCATCCTGGACATTAAGCCCCATCTGAAAGGGCCCCTGTGATGTAGTGGGTTAAGTGTTTGAGCTGAAACCGCAAGGTCAGCAGTTCAAACCCACCAGCAGCTCCACAGGAGATGAGGCAGTCCACTCTGTAAAGATGTGCTGTCTCAGAAACCTGAGGAAGGTTTTTACTGTGTCCTCTAGGGTTGCTAGGAGTCAGAATCAACTTGATGGCAGCGGGTTTGTTTTTCTGGCATCAGCAACAATGAGTATGTCTAATGCCAGAGTTTGTTTCTGAATGCCATTTATTAGAAAAACAGGCAAGAACAAAGCTGCTTGGGGAAATCGTGAATTTCAGAGCTGAGGCTGGAAAACCACAAGAGGAACCAGGAACATCTTGTTGGGTCAGAAAGCAAGAACATATCAAAGAAAGATGAAAATATGTCAAAAGGACATGCAAGGTAACTTGATGTAGCCCCCATCGTAAATGAATAACTGAAATACAAGTCTGTGGAAGAATATTTACATCGTACCTCCCCACAAACTACTGTCTTTACAGTAGGAAGTCTGGCAAGCATCACCTGAATAAAGTGATCACAATTAGCATCACTAGTAATGAGACAAATTGGAATCGTGTGCCAAAGGATAAGATGTAATGAGAAGAATATAACATTTCTTCTGTGACTCGTATTCTTGCTGAAGATGCATTACCTGAATTCAGTCATGAGAAACATCAAACTAGTGAAGTGGTGGTGTTTTACAAACAAGTGGTCCATAATCTTCAAAAACTATCAAGGGAATGAAAATCAAGGAAAGTCTGAGTAGCTGTTGTAGAAGAAGAGTGACTATAAAGACATGGCAACCCAAATGCAATGTGATACTGGACCAGACATGTTTGCCATAAAGGACAATACTGCTGTAACTGGTGAAGCTTTATTGGAATCTGAGGATTCGATGGTATTAACGTATCAAGGTATGTCACGGATTGCAAGGTTGATTTAAACTGCATGGTTGGTAGTTCAAACTTACCAGCCGCTCCTGGAAAACCCTATACGGGGTCGTTGTGAGTAGGAACCGACTCTACAGCACTGAACAACAAGAATGTATTCAAGGCAGTCCCTGAGATGTGCCAATGGTTAACACATCCAGCTGCTAACCAAAACATTGGAGGTCAGAGTCCACCCAGAGGTACCTGAGAAAAGGGCCTGAAGATCTATTTCCAAACACCAGTCATTGAAAACCCTATGGAGCAGTTTTACTCTGACACACGTGATAGCTTCATGTGTGTCAAAGTCAACTAGACAACAACCGTCATTTTTTAGAAGGGTGCCAATATTAACTTTCTGATTTTGATAGTTGTATTGTGGTTACATAGGAGCTCTGGTAATGCAGTGACTACAAATCGGGCTGCTAACCTTAGAGTAAGCAGTTTGAAACTACCAGCTCTTCCACAAGTGAAAGATGAGGCTTTCTGCTCCCTTAAAGATTTACAGCCTCAGAAACCCTGTGCAGGGTTGCTATGGGTCAGAATTGACCCAAAGGCACACCACCACTGCCAGTGTCGTACATAGACGAATATCCTTATTTGTAGGAAATGCATTATTAGTATTTGAGGGAGCAATAAAGTAACCAGTACTTCAAACTTTTCTGTAAGTGCAATATTGATTGAAAATAAAAACAACAAAAATGATGAAACAACTACAAATTTAACCCTAAGAAAGAATGACTCACTGATACATGCTACAACGTGGATAAACAGTGAAAACATTATCTTGAAATAAACCATATACAAAAGGTTACATATTCTATGATTCCATTAATATGAAACATCCCAAATAGCCTAATTCATAGAGACAGAAATCAGTTCTTTATTTTAAGGGGTCAGGGTTGGGGGAAGGGTGCGGGAGAGGAACTGGGAGTGAATATGGATCTAGGTTTTCCTTTTGGGATAATGGAAATATTCTAGAACATAATGGAGATAATTGGACAACATTTGTTGTTACTTGCCACGTAGTTCATTCAGATTCAAGGCCACCCCACGTGTATCAGAGGAGAAGTGGGTTCTATAGAGTTTCAAAGGAAGTAGATGGCCAGATCTGTTCTCTGGGCATTTCTGGGTGGGTTGAAACCTTTCGGCTAGTAGCCGAGTTTTCTCTGTCTGCACCACCCAGGTATTTCCTAAGTGTAGCTAAATTGTAGACTTTAAAATGGTTAAAATTGTAAGTTTTATGTTATGTGTATTTTACTACCATCAAAAGATAAATACAGTTTTAGCATATAGTAAGTCAAACTTCATTAAGCTTAGCAGGCAAACACTTTCTGCGTTATTGCAATGCTGAGGAAAAATTGTTTGTAATACCAATAAACTGGCTTATTTTGGAGAGGATCAATAAGTTAAGGCAATTGTCCATACTAAAATCTATAAAGACATTAGACTATTAAGAAATACAAGTAACAGGCAGTTCTACAATTTTAGGCAAAGGTTGGGAGGTAATAGTATAACTGCACTGACATAATACTGTAAATTCTATTTTCAAAAAGACTCTCTATCATTTGATCCTTATATAATCTTCCAAGACGGTGTGGACAAGTGTTAGAAGTGCCAGCTGATGGACATGGAGATGTGAGAAGGGTGGATGGCATGGTCAGCATCAAACAGGTGAAGACCCAAAATTGTAGTCCTAATCCCTTTACTCTACTTGGTATGTTATC